TTTTAACCACTTTTTTTGGAAAATTTTCGGAAATTTTGAATTTACTTTTCGTGTTTATTGGACGAGATATCGTCACGGTGATTTCAGAATCGTAACCAGCGGAAGATTAGCTACAATTTGACACCAATTTTCAGTCGATTGAACCAATTTTAACCACTTTTTTGGAAAATTTTTGGGAATATTGAATTCACTTTTCGTCTTTATTAGACGAGATATCGTGGCGGCAATTTCAGAATCGTAACCAGCGGAAGATTATCTACAATTTCACACCAATTTTCGGTCGATTGAACCAATTTTAACCAGTTTTTTGGAAAATTTTTGGAAATTTTGAATTCACTTTTCGTCTTTATTGGAAGAGATATTGTGGCGGCGATATCAGAATCGTAACTAGCGCAAGATTATCTACAATTTGACACCAATTTTCGGTCGATTGAACCACTTTTAGCCACTTTTTTGTAAAATTTTTGGAAATTTTGAATTGACTTTGCGTGTTTATTGGACCAGATATCGTCAGGGCGATTTTAGAATCGTAACTAGCGGAAGATTATCAACAATTTGACATCAATTTTCGGTCGATTGAACCAATTTTAACCACTTTTTTGGAAAATTTTTGCAAATTTTGAATTCACTTTTGGTCTTTATTGGACGAGATATTGTGGCGGGGATTTCAGAATCGTAACTAGCGGAAGATTATCTACAATTTGACACCAATTTTCGGTCGATTGAACCAATTTTAACCATTTTTTTGGAAAATTTTTGTTAATTTTGAATTCACTTTGCGTGTTTATTGGACGAGATATCGTCACGGCGATTTCAAAATCCTAACTAGCGGAAGATAATCTACAAATTGACACCAATTTTAGGTCAATTAGGTCATCGATTAACCACTTTTTTGGAACATTTTTGGAAATTTTGAATTCACTTTTTCGTCTTTATTGGACGAGATATTGTGGCGGCGATTTCAGAATCGTAACTAGCGACACCAATTTTCGGTCGATTGAACCAATTTTAACCACTTTTTTTGAAAATTTTTGGAAATTTTGAATTCACTTTGCCTGTTTGTTGGACCAGATATCGTGGCGGCGATTTCAGAATCGTAACTAGCGGAAGATCATCTATAATTTGACACCAATTTTCGGTCGATTGAACCAATTTTAACCACTTTTTTGGAAAATTTTTGGAAATTTTGAATTCACTTTTTCGTCTTTATTGGACGAGATATTGTGGCGGCGATTTCAGAATCGTAACTAGCGGAAGATTATCTACAATTTGATACCAATTTTCGGTCGATTGAACCAATTTTAACCACTTTTTTGAAAAATTTTTGGAAATTTTGAATTCACTTTGCGTGTTTATTGGACCAGATATCGTGGCGGCGATTTCAGAATCGTAACTAGCGGAAGATTATCTACAATTTGACACCAATTTTCGGTCGATTGAACCAATTTTAACCATTTTTTTGGAAAATTTTTGGAAATTTTGAATTCACTTTTTCGTCTTTATTGGACGAGATATTGTGGCGGCGATTTCAGAATCGTAACTAGCGGAAGATTATCTACAATTTGATACCAATTTTCGGTCGATTGAACCAATTTTAACCACTTTTTGGACAATTTTTGGAAATTTTGAATTCACTTTGCGTGTTTATTGGACCAGATATCGTGGCGGCGATTTCAGAATCGTAACTAGCGGAAGATTATCTACAATTTGACACCAATTTTCGGTCGATTGAACCAATTTTAAAAACTTTTTTTAAAAATTTTTGGAAATTTTGAATTCACTTTTGGTCTGTATTAGACGAGATATTGTGGCGGGGATTTCAGAATCGTAACTAGCGGAAGATTATCTACAATTTGACACCAATTTACGGTCGCTTCAACCAATTTTAACCACTTTTTTGGAAAATTTTTGGAAATTTTGAATTCGCTTTGCGTGTTTATTGCACCAGATATCGTGGCGGCGATTTCAAAATCGTAACTAGCGGAAGATTATCTACAATTTGACACCAATTTTCGGTCGATTGCACCAATTTTAACCACTTTTTTGGAAAATTTTTGGAAATTTTGAAATTACTTTTCGTGTTTACTGGACGAGATATCGTCACGGCGAGTTCAGAATCGTAACTAGCGGAAGATTATCTACAATTTGACACCAATTTTCGGTCGATTGAACCAATTTTAACCACTTTTTTGGAAAATTTTTGGAAATTTTGAATTCAAGTTTCGTGTTTATTGGACGAGATATCGTCAGAGCGATTTCAGAAACGCAACTAGCAGAAGATTATCTACAATTTGACACCAATTTTCGGTCGATTGAACGAATTTTAACCATTTTTTTGGAAAATTTTTGGGAATTTTGAATTCAGTTTGCGTGTTTATTGTATCAGATATCGTCAGGGCGATTTCAGAATCGTAATTAACGGAAAATTATCCACAATTTGACACCAATTATTATCGGTCGATTGAGCAAATTTTAACCACTTTTTTGGAAAATTTTTGAAAATTTTGAATTCACTTTTTGTCTTTATTAGATGAGATATCGTCAGAGCGATTTCAGAAACGTAACTAGCAGTAGATTATCTGCAGTTTGACACCAATTTTCGGTCGATTGAACGAATTTTAACTATTTTTTTGGAAAATGTTTGGGAATTTTGAATTCAGTTTGCGTGTTTATTGCACCAGATATCGTCAGGGCGATTTCAGAATCGAAATTAACAGAAGATTATCCACAATTTGACACCAATTATCGGTCGATTGAACAAATTTTAACCCCTTTTTTGGAAAATTTTTGGAAATTTTGAATTCTCTTTGCGTTTTTATTACACCAGATGTCGTCACGGCGATTTCAGAATCGTAACTAGCGGAAAATTATCTACAATTTGACACCAATTTTCGGTCGATTGAACGAATTTTAACCATTTTTTTGGAAAATTTTTGGGAATTTTGAATTCACTTCTCGTGTTTATTGGACTAGATATCGTCACGGCGATTTCAGAAACGTAATCAGCAGAAGATTGTCTACAATTTGACACCAATTTTCTGTCGATTGAACTAATTTTAACCACTTTTTTGGAAAATTTTTGGAAATTTTGAATTCACTTTTCGTCTTTATTAGACGAGATATTGTGGCGGCGATTTCAGAATCGTAACTAGCGGAAGATTATCTACAATTTGACACCAATTTTCGGTCGATTGAACCACTTTTTACAAATGTCTTGGAAAATTTTTGGAAATTTTGAATTCACTTTTCGTGTTTATTGGACCAGATATCGTAACTGCGATTTCAGAATCGTAAGTAACGAAAGATTATCCAAAATTTGATGCCAATTTTCCGCCGATTGAACCAATTTTAACCACTTTTTTGGAAAATTTTTGGAAATTGTGAATTCATTTTGCCTGTTTTTTGCACTAGATATCGTCAGGGCGATTTCAGAATCGTAACTAGCAGAAGATTCTGATATCAATTTTCGTTCGATTGAATCAAGTTTAACCATTTTTTTGGAAAATTTTTGGAAAGTTTCAATTCACTTTTCGTGTTTATTGGACCAGATATCTTCACGGCGATTTCAGAATCGTAACTAGCCAAAGATTATCTACAATTTGACACCAATTTTCAACACTGTACGCCCTTGAGTTTTTTACAAATCCTGTCAAAAAGAAAAAACCATGTGCCCCTGAGAATGTTTAAATTCCTTTCAAAAAGAAATCAGCAGTAGCCTTCAAGATTCTTTCAAAATAAAATCATCCAATTCCTCTGGGATTCTTACAAATTCTTTCAAAAACAAAACACCAGATCTTCTATAGATTCTTTAAATAATAATAAAACTCCAGGTGTCCTGGAGATTCTTTAAATTTTTTTCAAAAATAAAACAGCAGTACCCTTTAAGATCCTTTCGAATATAAAATACCTAGTGTCCCTAGCAAAACAAAATAGCAGCAGTCCTAGAAGATTCTTAACAAAAGAAATCAGCAACAACCCCTGAGATTCTTTAAAACTCTCAAAAAAAAAAATAGGAACCTACGCAATTCTTTCAAATTCTTTTAAAAGCAAAACACCGATGCGTCTGAGATACTTACTTTCATCTTTTTGCTAGATTGAACGTTCCTAAATATAATTTGAATCTGCTTATATTTTCAAACATTTTTGATGAGTAATGATTTTTTTAGCCCAAATGTCCTTATTTCGAATTCAGCAACACTGGGACAAAATCTTATGTTGGAAACAATTACGAATTGGGTCACTTTTTACACGTAAATTGAAAAAAAATCCTTCCAAAATTGAGTTAGAGATTAACTAGTTTCATTTCAGCAAATTATTGAAGTTGAGCTGGTAGCAATATATGTATTTTTTTATTCTCTCTTCGAGATTGGCACAAATTTGCTTAAATCGTCTCAGATTAGGAAAAAATATGCACTTCAGTGTTATTTAATCCGAAGTTAAAAACAAGCATAAAATATCGCACTTCATTCACAGTCTGGCACTGTATAATTTTCAGAAGTACATAATTATTACATAAATCAGAAGAAAGTGGAGAAAATCTCAAGAATGTTAGTCATACACGGTAGAAACTTCAAACCGTTTATGTTCAGACCATTGTTCTCAAAACACACAAACCACGCAAAAATGCCACCTCGAGAACAATCCCGTGTCATCTCCGCACGGCCTTCCGCAGCCACCTGCTCTGAAATCTGAATCGCTCCACCGTCCCACGCGTCGCCCCGACCCAAACCCCATCGACTTCCCATGGCCCCGTCCACCGCCTCAGCCCAATCCGATTTCCTCTTTCCGCGCTTCGTTCCACCGAATCTTATGAAATAATCCAATTTCACACCATCACTACCTGCTTTTTTGCCCGGTCGATCTTTCAATCACCAATTCTAGAAAACACAGTTCAACAATCGATGATTTACTAATAGAAAATTCTCGCCGAAGATGTAAAAAATCTTCATGTCCCCAATTGAACCCGCTATTAGCTTTCACCGATAGATGAAGAGAGCAGTCATAACAAACGCAAGTCCCGCTCCGAAGACAGTCGCATGCCGAGCCCCAGCGCGCGCGTTCTTCGTTCTTCGTTCTTCAATCTTGTGTGAAGATATTATGTGAACCGTGATTTGATTACAATGATGTGAAGATTGAGTAATGAGTATCTAGTGAGGAAATCGAATCAGAGCGAAGATGACGGAACAGAAAGACTGCGTCGAGGTGGTGGAGGAGAACAACAACGTGAACGATAACAAGAACTCGATGAACACGATTTCGTCCAAGCTGTCCACGGACCAGCTCATCTGCAAGTCGCCCCAGGAGTCCCCGGGGAGCTCGGTCCAGTCGGTGGAGAAGATCGTCGTGGGGGATGATGGGTCTCTGCTGTGTCTGGGGCTGCTGCAGTTCATTTTTGGGTTCTTCATGGTGGTCTTTGGGGCGCTGGTGATTCAGTATGATGCCAGTTTGGCGCAGGTTAGTGGGTTCGGGAGCGCGGTTGCGGTTTTTTGATGTTGTGGAATTGTGAAAGTCTGATTTGGCTTAATTCTATTACGGTTTTTTGGATAGCATGATCTGCATTTTATTTTAGGAATGTTGTTGGATTATTAATTTTTTTCGAATTAAAAAATGGGGCAATTATTTTGAATAATAAAAACAAATTTTGGTCAATTAATTTATCAGTTGTCAATACTTTTTTGATTTCACATTTGTATGTTGTTCAACTTGTCATTAAATTTATCTTTTACCGCATATCTGTATTGAGTTAATGAGGGATCATTTTCTAGTTAACGACCTTAATTGCTGTCGTATAACGCTTCGTTAACTACTTCAAAACTACTACCTGTTGTATCGGAAATAAATTAATTTCTGAAACAATTTAAATCTAACCTGATAGGACGTTTTCAAATTTAATTAAAAAAGAATTAATGACATAAATCTGGTGGAAATACCGATTTAGTAATTCAAATGAAACTAAAACGATATAAATTGTGGTAATTAGTGCAAGTGTTACCAATATCAATTAAATCAATTTTCCTATAATTGCAAAAGCAGTTTTTGACCCAAATGCGTTAAGAAAGCTCTAATTGTAGAAATTTTAATGTCTTTAAATGTGTCCAAGTTACAAAGTTTGGTAGATTTTGATTTTGGAAATTAAATATTGGAATAAAAATTTGGAAAACTGAAATATTTTGATCATGAATTCAAAAATGTTAAAAATATTGTACGAGTCATGGTAATAACTTCAAGTTTTCTTAATTATATTCGAAACCTGAAAATAGATTTTTTAAATTTTGAATCTAATTTGACGACTTTTGAAATATTAAGGTGATTTTTTAGAAAATTTTGAATGCATAAATTAAAAAAAAAAATCATGATCTGTTGTGTCAAAAGTCTTAAGTCCACGAATTAAAAAAAAACTTAAATATTTGAGAATTCTATTGCTCGATTGTATCCATTAAAGCAAATTTTAGTGTTACAAAAGTAACACAAAAAAAAACCCAAAATTTTGATTCAAATTTGGAATTTTTGGTTTTGTTGTGGAAGTTTCTTCATTCGCTGAATTAATACTTTGATTTAAGAATTTAAGGAGACTTAATTGTTCCTGTTTTGTAAATGTAATTTTTTTTTCATAAATTTCGAAATTCTAACGGCGCTTTTTCAGTTTTTACTTTTACCATTAACCCAGTAAGTCGTCAAAATCGGATTTGTTAATTTGGAAAATAATAACAATTCCTTAATTTTTTTTTTGTAAATTTACAGAATCTTTTACATGAAACTAACACTGTTTTTTCAGTGTTCATTTTTATCTAGCCTGATAAGTTGTTAAAATCGGATCCAATTCTCAGTTTCAAAATTGTGTTAAATTTCAAAATAAAAAACCTCTCCAATTTTTTTTTAGTATATTTAGAAAATCTGACACATGAAACTAAGACCGCTCTTTGAGTTTTTACTTTTACCTTTAACCTCATAAGGTCATAAGTCTTCAAAATCGGATCCAATCTTTTTTTAAAAATTTTGACAATTTTGAAGATAAAAATGTCTCCTCAAATATTTTTATAGTAAATTTAGAGAATCTAACACTTCAAACGAACACCACATTTTCAATTTTTAGTTTTGCCTTTAATCTCATAAGTCGTCAAAATCAGATATAAGTTTCATTTTCAAAATTTTGTTAGTTTTCGAAAAAAAAAAAAAAAATCGGAGTAGTATATTTTAAGAATCCAACATTTGAAACGAACATCACTTTTTCAGTTTAGTGTTTTCCTTTACATTTAACCTCATAAGTTGGATCCAGTCTTCATTTGCTGAAATTCGATTTTCGAAATTTTGTAAATTGTTTAACGTCACAAACTCCTCAATTTATTTTTAATAAAATTGGAGAATCTAACACCTGGAAATAACGCCGCTTTTTTACCATTGGCCCAATAAATCGTCAAAATCGGATTCAATTTTCATTGGCTGAAACCTCATTTTAAAAATTTTGTTAATTTTGAAAATAATAAAAATTCCCTGATTTTTTTTATAGAATCCTGCACTTCAAACAAACACCAAATTTTCAGCTTTCACTTTTCCCTTTAACCTTATAAGTCGTCAAAATCGAATCCAATTTTGATTTGCTGAAAATTGACTTTCAAAATAATGTTAAATTTCAAGATAAAAAAAATCTAATATTTTTTTAGGAAATTTTAGAGAATTTAGCATATGAAACGAACGCTGCTTTTTCAAATTTTATTTTTACATTTAACCTCATAAGTCGCTAAAATTAGACGTAATCTTCATTTTCAAAATTTTGTTAATTTTCAAAACAGAAAAAACCCTATTTTTTTTAGAAAATTTGAAGAATCTAACATTTGAAATGAACACCACTGTTTCAGTTTTTTCTTTTACCTTTAACCTCATCAGTTGTCAAAATCGGATCTAATCTTCATTTCCTGACTTCCGATTTTCAAAATTTTGTTAATTTTCGAAATAAAAGACTCCACGAATATTTTTTTTAGTAAAGTTTAGAAAATCTAGTATATAAAACGAACGCTGCTTTTTTAGATTTTACTTTTACCTTTAACCTTATAAGTCGTCAAAATCAGATGCAATTTTCATTTTCAAAATTTTGTCAATTTTCAAGATAAAAAAACTTCAATTTTTTTTAGGTAAGTTTAGAGAATCTAACACCTGAAACGAACACCGCTTTTTCAGTTTTTACCTTTACCTTGAGTCTCATAAGTTCTCAAAATCGGATTCAGTTTTTTTCGCTGAAATTCGATTTTCAAAATGTTGTCAATTTTCAAGATAAAAAAAACTCCTTTTCTTTTTAAATAAATTTAGAGAATCTAACACATGAAATTTACGTCGCTTTTTCAGTTTTTACATTTAGCCTTAATCCAGTAAGTCGTCAAAATCGGATCAAGTTTCATTGGCTGAAACCTCATTTTCAAAATTTTGTTAATTTTCAATACAATAAAAATTCCGTAATGTTTTTAGCAACTTTACAGAAACTAACACTTCAAACTTTAACTTTAAGAGTCAAAATCAGATGTAATTTTCGTTTTCAAAATTTCGTTATTTTCCAAAATAAAAAGAAAACAATTTCAATTTTTTTACTAATCTTAATGGTTTAATATTTGAAACAAACGCCACTTTTCAGTTTTTTCTTTTACCTTTAACTTCATAATTAGTCGAAATCGGATTTAGTCGACATTTGGTGAAACCAGATTTTCAAAATTTTGTCAATTTTCAAGATCAATTTTTTCTTTAGAAAATTTAGAGAATTTAACACTTGTAACTAACACCACTTTTTCAGTTTTTACTTTTACTTTTAGCCCCATAAGTTATCAAAATTGGATCTAATTTTCATTTGCTGAAATCCGATTTTCAAAATTTTGTCAATTTTCAAGATAAAAAATCCTCATTTTTTTTTAATACACTTAGAGAATCTAACGCATGAAACTAACGCTACTTTTTCAGTTTTTACTTTTACCATTAATCCAATAAGTTGTCAAAATCGGATCACGTTTCATTGGCTGAAACCTCATTTTCAAAATTTTGTTATTTTTCAAAATAATAAAAATTTCCTAATTTTTTTAGCAAGTTTACAGAATCTAACACTTCAAACAAACACGAAATTTTCAGTTTTTACTTTTCCCTTTAACCTTATAAGTCTTCAAAATCAGATGTAATTTTCATTTTCAAAATTTTGTTAATTTCCGTAATAAAAAAAAACAAATTTTTGCAGTAAATTTAAAGAATCTAATATTTGAAATGAACACCACTTTTTCAGTTTTTCTTTTGCGTTTAACCTCATAAGTCATCAAAATCGGATCAAATCTTCATTTGCTGAAATCCTATTTTCAAAATTTTGTCGATTTTTAAGATACGAAATTTTCTCAATTTAATTTTTAATAAATTTAGAGAATTTAATACATGAAACTAACGCCGCTTTTTCAGTTTTTACATTTACTATTGAGCCAATAAATCGTCAAAATCGGATCAATTTTTAGTGGCTGCAACCTCATTTTCAAAATTTTGTTAATTTTGAATATAATAAAAATTCCCAATTTATTTTAGCAAGTTTACAGAACCTAAAACTTCAAATAAACACCAAATTTTCAGTTTTTACTTTTCCCTTTAACCTTATAAGTCTTCAAAGTCAGATATAATTTTTATTTTCAAAATTTTGTTAATTTCCGAAATAAAATAAAACATTTTTTTTTAATAAATTTTAAAAATCTGTTATTTGAAACGAACACTTCTTCTTCAGTTTTTTCTTTTACCTTTACCTCATAACTCGTCAAAATCTGATTCAATCTACAAACATTTGGTGAAACCCGATTTTCAAAATTTCGTCAATTTTCAAGATAAAAAACTCCTTAATTTTTTTTTTATAAATTTGGAGAATCTAACACATGCTAACGCCGATTTTTCACTTTTTACTTTTACCATTAACCCAATAAGTTGTCAAAATCGGATCAAGTTTCATTGGATGAAACCTCATTTTTAAAATTTTGTTAATTTTCAAAATAAAAAGGACTCCTCATTTTTTTGTAAATTTAAACCGCTTGTTCAGTTTTACTTGTACCTAGCTTCAAAAATTCTCAAAATGGAATCAAATTTTCATTATCAAAAACCTCAATTTCAAAATTTTGTTAATTTTCAAAATAAAAAGGTCTCTTCATTTTATTTTACTAGTAAATGTACAGAATCTAACACAATAAACGACCACCACTTTTTCAATTTTTATTTTTACCTTTAATCTCATATCGTCGTCAAAATCGGATGTATTTTTCATTTTCAAAATCTTGTTAATTTTCAAATTGAAAAACTCTTCTCAAATTGTTTTTTGTAAATTTAAAAAATCTAACTTATGAAATGAACACCAAAATCGGATCTAATCTTCATATGCTGAAATTTCATTGTCAAAATTTTCTTAATTTTCAAAATGAAGAAGATTCCTCAAAAATTTTTAGAAGTTTACAGAAGCCCTGTTTCATAACAATTCCACTCGATTTTCCAACTACAAAATCGCCTGTTCTGTTACATAAATTAAATCCCCCTAGTAGTTACACGGGAATTATATTAATGTACACTTTCACAGCCTTTGTTTTATTGCGGTAGTGGATTTAATTATGATAAATTTGTCTGAATTCCAATTCTAACACACACCGACAACCGCAAACAAGTGTTCTTACGCCAGAATTAACTTTATTAACATGGGCGCTGAGCGTGAAATTCGAGCACTAGGCTCAAAATTCAAGCATGCACGGGTAAACGTACACATCCGCCGTCGCGCTCTTTGCCAACAGCAACCTTTAATTGGTCCAGTTGCATGTCAGAGCAGTTTTCCTCACAATTAAAACTCACACATTATTTCCAAATTGGGCAATCAGATTCGTAGATAAACTGTTATTATGTGTGTGATTGGTACACGCGGTAGTGAATGAGGAAGAACGCGAAATTGGTGTAATTTTGTCTTGTAGAGTTTCTGGTACTACTAGTACTAATTTTACCAGTCTTGAAATAAATAACTTTGGCTTCAATTTACATACTATCATTTCGAAAGTACTACTCCGTAGTAGTCTCAACTAGTGAAAGTACCCAGAGCAAACATCTACAAATCGGTACGACCTCAGAAACAAAACTCCTAATAATTTACCTAAACACCTCCTACAGTCTGTAATTTCAACAACCATTCAGCCATCCGGCCATGCTAATACGCATTAACCCACAGATCAAGTACCACCAGTACCAACACTCAACCCGTCGTGATAGGTCACCACAATCCACAAATCCCATTTTCCTTATTTACATCTCTAATTAATCCGCAATCACCCCATCGACTTTCCCCATCTTTCACTACCGAGACCTAAATCCTAGGTCCAATCCAGGTCAGACACAAAGCCACCTTTCCGAACAATTAATATAATTCGATCAATTAAGATGACATTTTGCGCATAGCTTGAATCAAGGTCAACAGCATATGGTACTCAGTCGTACTTTTGCAGCTGGGTGGTGGTATATGGGCTGGTTGCCTTTCCATGGCCACTGGGATCATCGGGATTCTGGCATCCGCAAGGGAGTGGTGTCCGTTGAAGTCCACGCCCCAGAAAATCACCCACACGATTTTCCTGGCTTTAAGTCTGGTCAGTCTGGCGATCGCGCAGCTGGTGGTGGCGCTCGCCGCCACAGGGGCGGCGAGGGACATCAACAACTCGGAGTACGAAGGGGACGACGAAGACGAGGTACGTTTTAGGTTTGACAAAATTTTCAATAGTGGTACTACATCGGGAAAAATTTTTCCCACCGGATCACCATATCGAGCAAAAATGCTAGTGACAGTTTGTCCTTCAAATACCAGAAACGGCACGTTTTCTAGAAGAATAAATCTCACCTTTAGAAACGTGCACGAACGGTTGAGCCATGTGGTTTCCTCCACGGCATGCGTAACCTACATCTACTCTCGTTTTCAACTGGTCGCCTCCGGCGACGAATTATTAACATATTTGTTTTTTACGCCATCTCCATACAAGAGTACTATCCGAGTTGAAGGTTTTTCGCGGTACTGACGCGCCTATCACTTCTGGAAGGTCAAAGTTAATTAGAAAACGGCTTCAGTACCCATAGTCTCACGATCATTAAAAAAAAAGAGCTAAATATAGGCTTGGTGCTATTTTAGTAGTACCACCCGGAAAATGGAATCACTTGAGGAGAAAAAACGTTAATTGTTGCTTTGGTACTGTTTTAGGTGGTGACCACGACTCCGGTACCACCCGGAAAAATCTCCATCATACTACCCCTCAACTACATGAGCATCCTGTGTAACTTGGGTCTTCTGGCTTTCTCAGCCGCCGAATTTATCGTGGCAGCTATAGCCTCGTACAAAAGCTCGAGAATCCTGTGTCCGTGCTTCCGAAGAAAAGAAGACTATATGGAAGACTTGAACACGCACAGGAATGCTTTGGTTAGTTCTTGGTTGGGTAAACAGAGTCCTCCTCCTCACCTGTACGTGGTTACGACAGGTTCCACGTCGACGTTAGGCAAAGGAAGCAAGGTGGGTACTTCTTCGTGGTAAAAAGTACTCATTTCTGACCATCCATGAAAATTGTGGTGATTTGGTAACCGGTTTCGTTCCTAATAACTTTTTTATAGACAATATTACGACACAATGACGATTTACATAATTTATGTTCCGTAATTGCTTGATTTTGATTGTTTTCTAATGGTACTAATTAAGAGTCAAATTAGCCGTATCTGAATTCCCGAAGGACACAAACAACAATTCGGTACCAATTTGAAGTGGTACCTCTAGGTTGCGCCATTTTTTCCGAACTCCTCTTTCACACGCCCGTGGTCGTACCGCTTCCAAACCAAATTCCAGACTCGAGGTGCGGTCGAGAAAAAGTCGGCCTCAGGCCGCGGCAAAAACTAGACCGAAATCGACATAAATTCATTAAAACCAGCAAGCGCGTGACCAAATCCCGATTGTCTTTAACATTTAAAAAAGTACCACCTAACTGTGCACCAAACTGGAGCTAATTTCACACTTGGAGTCGTCGGAATGTTGATGACACTTTTCTAACAGTACTCGCGTCGTTTTTCTTTTTCGAGTCAATGTAAAGGTGAAAGTTGGATCAATGAACTTAGTACCACATTTCGTACCTTATAATTGCTCGCGTCTTGATGAAAGTGGTTTCTGATTGCAGATGTCCGGTGGTTTACCGGTGCCGGTGTTCGCTATGCCGCACCACCAGGTGGTACCGCAGCGCGTGATGCACTACCCGCTGATCCCGGCGCCTTTGGGTACGATTCCGTCGCCGGTCATCCCGCCGTCGCCGCCGAGGAACAAAGAAATGGTAATTGTTTGCAAAGTAGTACCGGGGTACTGATTATAGTTGTGTAGATGCGGAGGAAGAAGAAGCACGCCTATGCCAAGTGTCCTTCGAGAGACTTAACGTCCAAAAAGGCGAAGTCGAGGTCCAAGTCCAGGAAGGAAAAAAGCGTGACTGAAGAAGACGTGGTTCGGACTTATACAGGGTTGGACAAGACAATCGCGGAGGAATTCATTGACATTTGCGATTCGAGAAATGTCAGCCTGTGTAGTGACTCGAGTTGCACAAGTAGTTGTCAGAGGAGTTGTAATGGGTGCAACACGAATAGCGATGTTGCCTCTAGGGATTATTTAGTCAGTAATAATAAAACGTGAACATGACGTCAGGTTGTCTGGTAACGAATCTGGGTTGTGTTTGCGGTTGGTACCTAACATTTGCTAACTTCTTACAGGTTGTACACTGTGGCTAATGTCTCTCTTATTGTTGTAACTTAAGATGTTGTATAATTTGTAAAAATGTATATGTGATATATTGTGTATATCTTTTTTTAATAAAACCATGAAATGACATTTTTGGTGATTTTGTAAGAATGGACATATATAAAGATCGAGTTCCAATGGAGATAAATAAACTATTGAAAATTTTGTCTTTCAGGAATGAATTAATATCTCCTGTTTTCTATGAGATTAAGAACCTCCAAACACATTTTTGATAAATTATTATATTTCCACAGGGTGTATAGATTGTTTCAGAAGCAACTTTGACCTAAATAATTTTATAGATTAAAAAAGTTGGCCCGCCCACCCACCCTTCTCCATTTCAGTGAACAAATTGCTTTGTCCTAAAATAAAACAAGGATTTCACATTATTAAAAACTAAAACCTCGTGTATTTCACTTCTTCTCCTCATTTCTCATGTCCTTCAGAGATTAGGAACGTTCGTTATCTGCAGTAAAACACCAAAGTTTCAAAAAAGCAAGCTCTAAATTCATTCTATTCAATTTTAAATTTTTTTACCAACTGAATTTGAAATTTAGCACTTTCAACTTTTAATCAATTTTTTATTGAAATTTGAGGACTTCAGAGAGTAAAAAAATTGGTACCTAGTTTCATGAGATTGTGAAAATTTTTTAGAAAATATGTTTATAAAGAGTATTTTATATTGGTTTTGCTTCTGAACCAACTTTGACTTAAATAATTTTATAGATAAAAAAGTTTTCCCCACCCACCCACCCCTTCTCCATTTTAGTGAACAAGTAAAACAAGGATTTTACGTAACCAGAAACAAAAACTTCGTGTAAGAGATCAGAGAAGTTCACATAAAAAAGATTAAATTTCAAATCTGGATCATGTCTGCAAAAATTTTATTTTTTTAAATAGAGTTGTAAATTTTTCGAAATTTTTCTCTTGAAATTCGCTTCAAATTATTTCACATTAAAAAAAGGACACTAGGAGGCCTCAAGATTCTTTTTAACTTTTTCATAGAGAGCCAACTTTAACATAAATAATTTTGTAGATTAAAAAAAGTTGGTAGAAAATGTTTTCGATTTTTGTTTTCTGATAATCTCCATAAAATAAAAACCAGTAGCCTAAGCAACATTTTTTGCTGTTTTGATTTGCAGTTTTTCAAGTTTTCAAGTTTAAATTTTGCAATTTTTCGTTTGGGTTTTTTATTTTTTTCCAGTTTTGCGTTTCTTCAGTTTTTCAATTTTTTCTTAAATTTTTAGATTTTGAAGTTTTTCGATTCAGTTTCTCGAATTTTCAATTTTTCAATGTTTCGATTTTTCACTTCTTCAGTTTCTTGATTTGCAATTATTCACTTCAATTTTTTATTGTCTTTATTTTATTCCATTTTTTGTTTTTTCAACTTTTAGATTTTTTAATTTTTTGTTTTTTCAATTTTAGGTTTTTCAGTTTTTCGATTTGCAAATTTTCCTAGTTTTATTCATTTTGAGTCTGTAATTATAATAATAATTAAAAAAAAAATACTTTTTATCTTTATGATTTTAGGATTTTCCACTTTTCAGTTACTGGATTTTAAAACTTTTTTATTTATTAGATTTTTCAAATTTTCCTAGTTTTATTCATTTTGAGTCTGTAATTATAATAATAATTAAAAAAAAAATACTTTTTATCTCTATGATTTTAGGATTTTCCACTTTTCAGTTACTGGATTTTAAAACTTTTTTATTTATTAGATTTTTCAAATTTTCGGTTTTTAATTTTGAGTTGGTCGATATTTAAGTTTTCAAATTTTCGGCACCTCAATGTTAGAGTTTTTCGAATTTATAATTTTGACAATTCTATAATAATTTTTTTCAATTTTACAATTTTCGGGTTTTCCAATTTTTCGCTTTCGCGTTTTTTCATCTTTCCGAATTTTCTATCCATTATTTGTTTCGATTTTTAATTTTTTAATGTTTCAATTTTTCGTTACTTCAGTTCTTCGAGTTGCAATTTTACGATTTTCGGTTTTTCTATTTTTTAAATTGAAAACTCAGTTTTTCGAATTTTTAATTTTTGAATTTTTCGATTTTTCATTTCATCAATTTCTTGATTTGTTATTAATTCTGGCGATTTTTTATTTACTTTATTTTATTCCATTTTTCGATTTTTCAGTCTTTGGATTTTTTAATTTTTTGTTTATTCGATTTTACATTTTTCGGTTTTCCGATTTGCAAATTTTCTTTGTTTTCATTTTAGATATGTAATAATAATGATTTAAAAAAAATTTCACTTATCAAATTTATGATTTTAGAATTTTTCCACTTTTCAGTTAGTGGATTTTAAACTTTTTCATTGTTCGATTTTACAATTTTCCGACTTTTGAATTTTTCAATTTTTTAATTTTTGAATTTTTCGATTTAAGCCTTTCGAGTTTTTAAGTTTAAATTTTTTAATTCTTCGATTTGCAATTTTACGTTTCGGTATTTTAGTCTCTTTTTTCAGTTTTTTTTTCATTTTTTTTCTTCAATTTTTCGATTTTTCAACTTTTAGATTTTTGAATTTTTTGTTTTTTCAATATTGAATTTTTCAGTTTTTGGATTTGCAAATTTTCCTAGTTTTCATTTTAAATATGTAATAATAATAATAATTTAAAAATTTTTTCACTATTCGATGTTATAATTTATCAAATTTTCGATCCTTCAATGTTACGTTTTTGAATTTACAATTTTGACAATTCTATAATTTTTTGATTTTATAATTTTAGAGTTTTCCAAATTTTTGCTTTCGTGTTTTTTCTTCTTTGCAGTTTTTTTCCTTATTTTTTTTTAATTTCTCGATTTTTAGTTTATCGTATTTGAGTTTTCCAATGTTTCAATTTTTCGTTTCTTCAGTTCTTCAATTTACAATTTTACGATTTTACACATTTTCAATTTGGCAAATTTTTCGTTTTTTAGATTTCCATTTTTCAGTTTTTCAAGTATTCATGTTTAAATTTTTCAGTTTTTCAATTTTCCAGCTTTTTGAATTTTTTTTAATTCTTCGATTTGCAATTTTTCGTCCCGGTTTTCTACCTCCTTTTTTTCAGTTTTTCGTTTTTTCAATTTTTCATTTTTTCCTCCAATTTTTAGATTTAGTTTTTCGATTTACAGTTTCTCGAATTTGCAACTCTTGATTTTTCAATTTTTCGATTTTTCATTTCTTCAATTCCTTGATTTGCAATTATTATTTCTTTTGAATTTTATTTTCTTTATTTTATTCCATTTTTCGATTTTTCAACTTTTATTTAGATTTTTGAAATTTTTGTTTTTTTGAATTTTAGATTTTGCAGTTTTTCGATTTGCAAATTTTCCTAGTTTTCATTTTAAATGTGTAATAACAATAATAATTTAAATTTTCACTTTTCAATTTTATTTATTTAGACTTTTTCCACTTTTCATTTACTGGATTTTAAAATTTTTTCATTTATTCGATTTTTCATTTCATCAGTCTCTTGATTTATTTATTAATATTAATTATTCCTTTCGATTTTTTATTTTCTTTATTTTATTCCATTTTTAGATTTTTCAACTATTAGATTTTTAAAATTTTTGTTTTTTCAATTTTAGATTTTTCAGTTTTCCGATTTGCAAATTTTCCTAGTTTTCATTTTAAATACCTATGTAATAATAATAAATTAAAAAAATTTCACCTTTCAGTTTGATGATTTTAGAATTTTTCCACTTTTCAGTTACTGGGTTTTAAAATTACTTCATTTATTCGATTTTTCAGTTTTACCACTTTTGAATTTTTCAATTTCTAGATTTTCTAATTTTTTTATTTGAGTCTCGAGTTTTAATTTTTTAGTTCTTCGAATTGTTATTTTTCGATTCGGTTTTTATTTTCTTTTTTCAGTTTTCCGTTTCTTCAATTTTTAAATTTTTCCGTTTTTTCTTGAATTTTTTGATTTGCAATTATTATTTCTTCTGATTTTTTACTTTCTTTATTTTATTTCATTTTTCGATTTTTCAACTTTGATTTAGATTTTTTTATTCTTTGTTTTTTTTTTTAAATTTAGATTTTGCAGTTTTTCGATTTGCAAATTTTCCTTGTTTTCATTTTAAATGTGTAATAATAATTATAATTTAAAAAATGTTTTACTTTTCAATTTTATTTGTTTAGAATTTTTCTTCTTTTCAGTTACTGGGTTTTAAAACTTTTTCATTTATTCGATTTTTCAGTTTTCTTACTTTTGAATTTTTCAGTTTTCCCACTTTTAAATTTTTCAATTTCTAGATTTTCCAATTTTTCGATTTGAGTCCCGAGTTTTTAATTTTTAATTTCTTAATTCTTCGAACTGTTATTTTTCGGTTTTTATTTTCTTTTTTCAGTTTTCCGATTCTTCAATTTTTAAATTTTTTATTTTTTTCTTCAATTTTTTAATTTGCAATTATTATTTCTTCTGATTTTGTACTTTCTTTATTTTATTCCATTTCTCGATTTTTCAACTTTTATTTAGATTTTTTATTTTTTGTTTTTTTGAATTTTAGATTTTGCAGTTTTTCGATTTGCAAATTTTCCTAGTTTTCATTTTAAATATTTAATAATAATAATAATAATAATACTGATTTAAAAAATTTTCACTATTCAATTTTATGATTTTATAATTTGTTTGCTTTTCAGTTACTGGATTTTATAACTTTTTCATTTATTCGATTTTTCAGTTTTCCCACTTTTAAATTTTTCGGTTTTTCCAGTCTTTCAATTTTTCAACTTTTCGAATTAAAAAAATGGAAAACTTACAAAACTGTAAAAGTGAAAAAATCAAAAATGTAAAAACGACAAAGTATAAAATTTGAACTTGAAAAATTGAAGAACCGAAAAATTGAAAAATCGAAAATTAAAAATTGACAAATTTTAAATCGGAAAAGTGCAAAATTGAAAAAGAAAAAACAAAATATTGTAAAATCGAAATATTGAAAATTCAAGAAATCGCTAAATCAACGAATTGAAAAATCAAAGATTGAAAATTTGAAAAACTGAATACACGAAAAATTATAAAATTCGAAGAAACATTGAAAAAATAAAGTATTTGAAAAAACAAAAAAATTGTGAAATAAAGTCGAGAAAATAAAAATTAAAAAATCCGGAAAATGCAAAATAAAAAACAAGAACTTGAAAAATTGAGGAAACGAAAAATTGAAAAAAGAAAAATTATAAAATCGAAGAAACAGAATAAACAAAAAAATCTGATATAAAAAAATTTTAAATTCGAGAAACTGAAAAATTAAAATATCAAAATATTGTAAAAATGAGGAACTGAAAAATAAAAATTAAGAATTTGAAAAATTTAAGAAACGGAAAATGACAAATCGAGAAATTAAAAACTGAGAAACTACAAAATCAAAAAAAAAAATCGAAAAAACGAAACATTATAAAATTGAAAAATTGCAAACCGAAACACTGAAGAAACGAAAAATTGAAAAATTTGAAAGTTGAGAAATTGAAAAATTGGAAAAAAAGTTTCCCGATTTTTTGTCTTAGAGGGTATATCAACTGGCAAAATCAGTCTTATCTTCGCAATACTAACCCCGCCCACCCACCCTCTCTTTTCTTAGGGGATATATCAAATGCCAAAATCAGTCTTTTCGTAGCAAGTACTAACCCCGCCCACCCGCCCTTTATTTTCTTAGAGGATATGTCATTCGCCATAATCAGTCTTCTCTTTGCAAATTCTAAATTCTAATAGCCTGTAGCGGCACAATAACACATGGGTAAGCAGAGCAAAGATAAGTTGTCTTGTGGTGTAGCGGTCAGCATACCAGCCCGGAATGCTTGGAGACGTGGGTTCGAATCCCACCGAGGCACAACATTTTTCTCTGCTTACCTATATTGGTGACCTCCGACAGGCAACGCCCACGCAACATCCTTCTGCCACCGCCCTGTGCCCGCTGTGTTCGGGGTCCGCAGCACCGCCAGGGTTCGAACAACGACCGTAAGAGTGGTAGGGGCGACGCCAGCATCTATCTCCTTCGCACCCCAGCACGACCGCGCGCTGTGTCGCTGGGGGGGGGGGGGGGGGAGTACTGTAGCGGCACAATAACACATGGGTAAGCAGAGCAAAGATAAGTTGTCTTGTGGTGTAGCGGTCAGCATACCAGCCCGGAATGCTTGGAGACGTAGGTTCGAATCCCACCGAGGCACAACATTTTTCTCTGCTTACCTATAAGCCCATTGATATACCGCAATTTTTAAAAATTTCAAAAAAATGGAATTTCACTGGGAATTTTTCGAAAATATTGCGCAGACACAGACAGACAGGCAGACTAACGGAAACGTGGAACCACTTTTCCGTGAAAGCTGAAGGAATCAGTTTGACATTGCTATATCTGAAGACCGTTCCACCACCAAAACGCCAAATTATTAAAAAAGTAAAATTTATTACTTCACTTGCTTACATCAATATACAATACATCAAAGCAGCGTTCTAACAGTAATTAAAACTCCTACCTAACGATCACATTTCGTATACTACCTATCCTAACACATGGAGCTTCCAGAGGTACTTAATCACCTAACAATAAATTCGTCATTTTCGAAAAACCTACTTATCTAAATTAAATTATCTGACTTAACTAACTTATCACAACACTTTCAATCTCACTAGTGGCTATCGTTAGTCTCCAACGAATTCGTCTCGGCTTTGCCCGAATACTGTTTCAACAACTCGTTTAGTTCGAAATACGTCTCACAATAGACGAAGTCTTTTGGCTGAACACCTTGGAACGTGTTGATCACACTTGGCTTGAGGTTATAAAAGAGGATCGGTTGCTTGCGCTTGTGGAAATCTTCAATGAGGGACTTGATACCCTGTAATAGTAACATTAGTAACACAAACACTAAAGTTAGGTTAGGTTACCTTAGCTGCTGTGAAATCCGCGCCCTGTATATGTCGAGCGTCTATGACAACAGGAATGGAGCTGGAACCTTGTTTGACTCCAGCTTTGGAGACTACAGTCCTAACGTACTCGACTGACGGGAAAGTCAGGCTTCGGTCGGGGGTGATGAGGAGGTAGTCGCAGCCTGAGTAAGCCTACAATTTTATTGTTGTCATAGTGTGTCATACAACCGGTGAAGCCACGTACCGAAACCTTTTCTACATTGACCGAAGGTCTGGCTGTAGCGTATAGAAGAAAGATCAAGTTGATTCCCACTCCTACCACGATCCCGATTTCCAGACGCAAGAACAAACAACAAACAAAAGTCGTGCAGGCCGGGATCAGGTCGGACTCTGGAACAACCAGGGTTAATTTTGGTTCGGCGCGGTTGTCCCACTTACTTTTCGTCCTCCACATGGGTTTGACAACATGAAACTCTACCATAAATACTACTGCAGCGATAATAACGGCAGCTAAAGAAGCTTTAGGAATGTAAGAAAAATAAGGAGTGAATAGATGTAAGGAGAGAATTACAATGATTCCAGTATAGATTCCACCGAAAGTTGTTTTGACACCGCTGGCGTGATTGACGGCTCCTCTTGACAATGCTCCTGACACTGGCATCGACTGGACGAAGGAAGACGCTATGTTGCACACACCCAAAGCTAACATCTCTTGGGTGGCGTCAATCGTCTTCCCATCAGCTGGAACAAGTCATGGTATAATTGTCAATAACATAGACAATGGGTCTTTACCGAACACTTTCGCCAGGGCGATGTTCTCCAAGATTGACAACAATGGTACGACGATGATCCCCGAGCCCAAAGCGGATGACATGTCGACGAAGTTGTACGTGGTGTTGTCAATGTGGGCTTCGAATGGTGGAGGTTTGAACTCTGGAAGTCCAGGTTTGATGTAGCCCGTCAAAATGAAGGGTTGGGACCCATGAAGCTCGAAAAAGTAGGCCAAAACGGCTGAAAAAACCACCACGAGGATGTTCCTGGCGGTCGACACCAACCAAATTATCTTCGTCAGGACTTTATGGATCCTTTTTCGCTCCTTGATGTCTTGGGGCCCGATCTTCACATCCTTGATGCTCTACAAAAACCGATTACTCATTATTAGAAGGTAGTGTTTTTGTGGATCTGGACTTCGTGCCAGTTAGTAGAAAGATTTTCATTGTTGGATGATTCACGCTTTAATCACGATACCATCGATAATTGATGCAGGATGTGGCAGTTTTAACAGTTTGATTGGGGAGAATTGGGGTAACAAACACCGAGGAATGCGAATGTGGTTCAAGCTTCAAGGATACAGCGAAAAACCGCACGGATCAAGATTTTAGGTAAATTAATAGAAAATAATAAAACCGCAGAATAATTAGCCGAGTGTGAGGTGATACCCGAGTAGGAAATGATGCAATACGAGACGCAAACAGGTGTTTCGGCTGATAAAAAATAACGGTACGACTTAATTGTTTTTATGGTTGATAAAAAAGCGGAAAATTTCTGGCCGGCTGATTGCTTTCGGAATCTGTTGTGGCACCTATTTGGCAAATGCTAATTTCAGTCGTAAATTAAAAAAGCTATAAAAAAATTATATAAAGTTCGCGATATCAGCGAAATCACTGCGGAATTTGTTAGACGGATTTTGAAGTGATTGTTGTTGACGGTGATGTGGAAAATTTCAGATTGCGAGTGTAATGATAGCGGCATTTTAATTGTCTTGTGGCTAATAATTTTGTTTTTCTTGTTTGTTGTCGTCTCTGTGTTCCGGGAATGCTGCGAGGAAACATTACGTGGTCGACGAAGATTTGGCAATTTAGGGATTTTAACGTACCCAGAAAAAAAAAACTATATTTCTTGTCGTTAATTATACGTAAAAGCATAATTTGATTACTATTTTCAATCTAACAATACTCAATTAATTAACACCGTTAAACTGACAATTCACTAGCTACACTTACACTTGAGGCATTCATGAAGTCCTCGAGTTCTTTCCAATTCTTTCCAAAACAAGACATGAGAGGTTCCTGACATTCTTTCAAACTCCTACGAAAACCAGACACAAGAGGTCCTCGAGATTTTTTCAAACTACTTCAAAAACAAAACCTGAGATTCTTTCAAACTTCTTCAAAAACCAGACACAAGGAATCCACGAGATTCTTTTAAACTACATACTTCAAACCAAAACATAAGGAGTCCCCGAGATTCTTTCAAACTACTTCAAAAATCAAAACAAAAGAAGCCCCCGAGATTCATTAAAACTACTTCAAAAACCAGACACAAGAGGTCCCCGAGATTCTTTATACCACTTCAAAAACACAACAAAAGGGGTCCGCGAGATCCTTTAAAATACTTCAAAAACCACGCATAAAGGGTCCCCGAGATTCTTTCAAACTACTTCAAAAACCACACACAAAGGTTCCTCGAGATTCTCTCAATCTACTTCAAAAATCACACACAAGTGGTCTCCGACAATTTTTCAAATGACTTCAAAATCAAAACAAAAGGAACCCCATATATTTTTTCAAACTACTTCAAAAACACAACAAAAGAAGTCCCCGAGATTCTTTCATACTACTTCAAAAACCACACACAAAAGGTCCCCGACATTCTTTCGAATTACTTCAAAAACCACACGGAAGTGGTTCCCGGAGATTTTTTCAAACTACTTCAAAAATAAAAGGAAAAGTGTCCCCACGATTCCTTCAAACTACTTCAAAAATAAAACGAAAAGTGTCTCCGAGATTCTTCCAAACTACTTCAAAAATAAAACGAAAAGTGTCCCCGATATTCTTTCAAACTACTTCAAAAACACAACAAAAGAAGTCTCCGAGATTCTTTCATACTAATTCAAAAACCACACACAAAGGGTCCCCGAGATTCTTTCGAACTACTTCAAAACCACGCGGATGTGGTTCCCGGAGACTCTTTCAAACTATGTATTTCAAAAATGAAACGGAAAGTGTCCCCGAGATTCTTTCAAACTACTTCAAAAACATAACAAAAAGTGTGCCCGAGATTCTTTCAAACTACTTCAAAAACCATACATAAGGGGTCCCCGAGATTCCTTCAAATTACTTCAAAATCAAAACAAAAGGAATCCCCGAGATTCTTTCAAACTACTTCAAAAACACAATAAAAAGAGTCTCCAAGATTCTTTCAAACTGCTTCAAAAATAAAACAAAAAAGGTTACCAAGATTCTTTCAAATTAATTCAAAAACAAAACAAAGGGGTCACCGAGATTCTTTCAAATTACTTCAAAAACAAAAAAAAAATAGTCCCCGAGATTCTTTCAAACTACTTCAAAAACCAGACATAAGGGGGCCCCGAGATTTTTCCAAACTATTTCAAAAACCAGACACAAGAAGCCCCCGAGATTTTTTCAAATTATTTCAAAATCAAAACAAAAGAGATCGGCTAGATTTTTTCAAATTACTTAAAAAATAAAGCAAAAAGTGTTCTCAAGATTCTTTTAAATTACTTCAAAATCAAAACAAAATGAGTCCCGGAGATTCTTTCAAACTACTTCAAAAACAAAACACAAGCGGTCCCCAAGATTCTTTCAAATTGCTTCAAAAACAATACACCAAAGTTTCTCCGATATATCGTCAAATAACTTCAAAGACAAGACGTCACAAATCAGGAGAGTTTGAGATTCTTTCAAATTGCTTCAAAAACAAAAAAGGGGTTCCGAAATTTTTCTAAACTACTTCAAAAATAGACACAATGGGTCCTCGAGATTCTTTCAAATTACTTCGAAAACAAAATACAAGCGATCTCGGAGGTTCTTTCAAATTATGTACTTCAAAAATAATACACTGAAATATCCCCGAGATTCTTTCTAATTACTTCAAAAACCAAATATAAGTAGTTTCCAAGGTTCTTTTAAGTTATTTCAAAAACAAGACCCTCAGGAGATTTCCGAGATTCTTTTAAATTACTTCATTTCGATTCTTTAAACTCTATTGTCAACATCACCTTCAGACGCCAATTTAACAATATTTAACTAGAAGTTTTATTTATTTATATTTAGTTAGTTGAAGTTGTATTATAATTATTTTTTTTAATAGATATTGATTCTTTTTTTTTGTATTACTATTATTTTTAATATATATTACTTTTGTTCTTTATAGATTTTCTGTGTTTGGGTTTGTAACCTGTTTCGAAATAACTCATTTATTTATTTATTTGTTTGTTTATTTATTCCTTCATTTATTTATGTATTTATCTTTCAAACTACTTCAAAAACCACACACAAAGGTTCCCGGAGTTTATTTCAAACCAGTACAAAAACACAACAAAAAAAGTTCCCGAGACTCTTTCAAATTACTTCAAAATCAAAACAAAAGTAGTCCCCGAGATTCTTCGAACTACTTCAAAAACCACACACAAAGGGTCTTCGTGATTCTTTCAAATTACTTCAAATTCAAAACAAAAAGTATCCCCGAGATTCTATCAAACTACTTCAAAAACAAAACAAAAGGGGTCTCTGAGATTCTTTCAAACTACTTCAAAAACCACGCATCAGGGGTCCCCGAAATTCTTTCAAATTACTTCAAAATCAAAACAAAAGTAGCCCCCGAGATTCTATCAAACTACTTCAAAAACAAAACAAAAAGCGTCCCTGGGATTCTTTCAAACTACTTCAAAAACTGCACACCGAGATTCTTTCAAAATTACTTCAAAATCAAAACAAAAGGAACCATCGAGATTCCTTCAAGCTACTTCAAAAATGCAACAAAAGGAACCCCCGAAATTCTTTCAAACTACACCAAAAACCACACACAAGAGGTCCCCCAGATTCTTTCAAATTACTTCAAAATCAAAACAAAAAGAGTTCCCGAAATTCTTCAAACTACTTCAAAAATAACACAAAGGTTCCCCGAGATTCTTTTAATTACTTCAAAAACAAACAAAGAGGTCCCTGGGATTCTTTCAAACTACTTTAAAAACCAAACGCATGGAATACCCGAGGTCCTTTCAAGCTACTTCAACAGCCAGGCACAAGAGACAAGTGGTTCCCTTGATTCTCCCAAACTACTTCGATTTTTCAAATATTGGATTTTAAAACTTTTTCATTTATCTACTCGATTTCAATATTTAATTTTCCATTTTTCAATTTTATCAATGTTACAGTTGAATTTACAATTTTTTGTTTTGGCGATTTTTCTTCCTTACAATTTTTATATTCATTAATTTTTTTCGATGTTTAATAATTTCTCTATTTTCAGTGTTTCAAATTTTCGTTTCTTCAGTTCTACGATTTGCAATTTTTTGTTTCTTCCATTTTTCGATTTTTCAAGTTTTCGAATAAAAATATAAAAATAACAATTGCCTTACGCTCAGGAAGTAAACAATGGAAAAATTGCGAAATGTAAAACTGAAAAATTAAAATGAAAAAGAGAAAACTTTGAAAAATCTAAACATTGGAAATTAAAAACATAAAAATCGAAAAAATGCAAAATCAAAACTACAAAAAAACAACTTGTAAAATCGAAATGCTGAAAATTAAAGAAATGGGAAAATCGGATAACTGAGAATTCCGAACATTGTAAAATTAAAAATTTGAAAATTGGTAAATCGACGAAGTGAAAATACAAAAATCAGACACAAGCGGTCCACCAGATTTTTTCAAACTACTTCAAAAACCAAACGCATGGGATACCCGAGGTCTTTTCAAATTATTTCAAAAACTAGACACAGAGAATTCCAGAGATTCTTCAAGCTATTTCAAAAGCCACACACAAAGGGTCCCCGAAATTCTTTCAAATTACCTCAAAATCAAAACAAAAGGAACCCTCGATATTTTTTTAAACTACTTCAAAAACCACACACAAGGGGTCCCCGAGATTTTTTTTAAATTACTTCAAAATCAAAACAAAAGGAGCTCCCGAGATTCTTACAAACTACTTCAAAAACAGAACAAAAAGTGTCCCCGAAATTCTTTCAAACTACTTCAAAAACTATACATAAGGGGTCCCCGAGATTCTTTCAAATTACTTCAAAATCAAAACAAAAAAGTCCCCGAGATTTTTTCAAAAAAGGGATTCCGAAATTTTTCTAAACTACTTCTAAAACCACACACAAGAGATCCTTGAGATTCTTTCAAATTACTTCAAAATCAAAACAAAATGAGCCTCCAAGATTCTTTCAAACTATTTTAATTATACAACAAAAAGGGTCCTCGAGATTCTCTTAATCTACTTCAAAAATCACACACAAGTGGTCCCCGACAATTCTTCAAATGACTTCAAAATCAAAACAAAAGGAACCCCTGAGATTCTTTCACGCTACTTCAAAAACCATACACAAGGGATCCCTGAGATTCTTGCAAACCACTTCAAAAACACAACAAAAGGAGTCCTCGAGATTCTTTCAAACTACTTCAAAAACACAATAAAGAGTGTCGTCGAGATTCTCTCAATCTACTTCAAAAATCACACACAAGTGGTCCCCGAGAATTTTTCAAATTACTTCAAAATCAAAACAAAAGGAGCCCCCGAGATTTTTTCTAACTACTTCAAAAACTACACACAAAGGGTCCCCGAGATTCTTTCAAACAACTTCAAAAACCACACAAAAGTGGTCCCCGAGATTCTTTCAAACTACTTCAAAAACCACACACAAAAGGTCCCCGAGATTCTTTCAAACAACTTCAAAAACCATATATAAGGGGTCCCCGAGGTTCTTTCAAATTACTTGAAAATCAAAACAAAAAGAGCCCCTGAGATTCTTTCAAATTATTTCAAAATCAAAACAAAAGAAGGCCTCGATATTCTTTCAAACTGCTTCAAAAACACAACAAAAAGAGTCCCCCCGACTCTTTGAAACTGCTTCAAAAACAATACAATAGGAGTCCCGAAGATCTTCTTTCAAACTGCTTCAAAGATAAAACACAAGCGGTCCCCAAGATTCTTTCAAATTGCTTCAAAAACAATATACACAAGTTTCCCCGATATTTCTTCAAATAACTTCAAAGACAAGACGTCACAGATCACGAGAGTTTGAGATTCTTTCAAATTACTTCAAAAATAATACATTGAAATATCCCCGAGATTCTTTCTAACTACTTCAAAAACCAAAGATAAGTGGTCCCAAAGATTCTTTTAAATTATTTCAAAAACAAGACCCTCAGGGGATCTCCGAGATTCTTTCAAATGACTTCATTTCGATTCTTTAAACTCTAGTGTCAACCAGGCGCCAATTTAAAAATATTTGACTAGAAGTTTTATTTATTTATATTTAGTTAGTTGAAACTGTATTATTATTATTTTTTAATAGATATTGATTCTTTTTCTTTGTAGTACTATTATTTTTAATATATATTACTTTTCTGTGTTTGGGTTTGTAACCTGTTTCGAAATAAATAATGTATTTATTTATTTGTTTATTTATTCGTTTATTCATTTATTGATTTATATATTTATTTATTAAAAAGACAAGATCACGGGATTTTGAGATTCTTTAAAACTACTTCAAACACATAACAAAAAGAGTCCCGAGACTCTTTCAAAGTACTTCAAAAACCACACACAAGGGATCTCCGAGATTCTTTAAAATTATTTCCAAATCAAAACAAAAAAAGCCCCCGAGATTCTTTCAAACTACTTCAAAAACATAACAAAAAGAGTCCCGAGATTATTTCAAACAACATCAAAATTAAAACAAAACGAGCCCTCGAGATTCTTTCAAACTACTTCAAAAACACAACAAAAGGAGACCTCGAGATTCTTTCAAACTACTTCAAAATGAAAACAAAAGGAGTCTCTTTCAAACTATGTACTTCAAAAATAAAACAAAAAGTGTCCCCCAGATTCTTTCAAACTACTTCAAAAATACAACAAAAAGAGCCCCCGAGATTCTTTTAAAGTAATTCAAAAACCACACACAAAGTCTTCCCGAGATTCTTTCAAACTATTTCAAAAACATAACAAAAAGTGTCCCCGAGATTCTTTCAAACTACTTCAAAAATCAGACATAAGGGGTCCCCGAGATCACACAAAGGGTCCCCAAGATTCTTTCAAATACCTCAAAAACATAACAAAAGTGTCTCCGAGATTCTGTGAATCTACTTCAAAAACTACACACAAGTGGTTCTCGAAAGTTTTTCAAATTACTACAAAATCGAAACAAAAGGAGATTCTTTCAAATTACTGCAAAATACGACATACAAGTGGTCCCCTTGAATCTTCAAATTACTTCAAAATCAAACAAAAGGAACCCCCGAGATTCTTTCACATTACTTCAAAATCAAAACAAAAGGAGCCCCCGAGATCATTTCCAATTACTTCAAAATACTATAGAAAAAGGGTTCCCGAGATTCTTTCAAACTACTTTAAAAACTAGGCACAAGTGATCCCCGAGATTTTCTCAAACTACTTCAAAAACAAACAAAATATGTTCCCGAGATTCTTTTAAACAAGTTCAAAATCAAAACGAAAGGGGTCCCCTAGATTCCTTTAAACTACTTCAAGAACTCCCCGAGATTTTTCAATTTACTTCAAAACCAAAACAAAAGTGGTCCCCTAGATTTTCCCAAACTACTTCAAAAACAAAACAAAAGAGGTCCCCAAGATTCTTTCAGACTACTTCAAAAATCAGATACAAGAGTTCCACGAGACTCTCTCAAACTACTTCAAAAACAAAACAAAAGAGGTTCCCGAGATTCTTTCAAATTACTTCAACTACAAGACAAGGGATCTCCGAATTTCTTTCAAACTACTTCAAAAACAAAACGCAAGGATTCCAAGATTCTTTCAAACTAGTTCAAAAATAAAACAAAAGAAGTCCCACTTTTAGAATTTTTCATTTTTCAATTATTATTGGATTTTAAAACTTTTTCATTTATCTATTCGATTTCAATATTTCATTTTTTACAATGTTACGGTTTTACGAATTTACAATTTTGACGATTTTGCAATTTTTGGGTTTTCTAATTTTTCATTTTGGCGATTTTTCTTCCTTACAATTTTTCTATTCATTAAATTTTTTCGATGTTTAATAATTTCTCGATTTTTAGTTTTTCAGTGTTTCCATTTTTCGATTTTTCAACTTTTCGAATAAAAATATGAAAGTAGCAATTCGTCCTCGGACTCGATTACTATACTTCTTCACCACACGCTCGGGAAGTAAAAAATGGAAAAATTGCGAAATGTACAACTGAAAAATTAAAATGATAAAATGAAAACTTGGAAAAATCTAAAAATTGGAAATAAAGAACGAAAAATTGTAAAACAAAACAAAAACGCATTTTCTTGTGGCATCAATTATATTAAATATTAATACATGTTTATAAAAAAATCTGAAACTTTCCAACTTTCAAAAATCGATATTTCTTTTAAATTTTTTGTTCTCATTTTTCTAGTAAGTCGATGTGTCTCTTAAAAAGTAAAAAATCGCAGGGGAACTATCAACTTTAAACATAGAAAATACTTAAGAAAAAGGAAATAAAACAAAAAAATAGAATAAGATAAAATTGTAATATGTAATAACATTTTTTGCCTTTATTTATCAACAAAATATTGTGGACAGATTTTAAAAATAACCCTAATACAATTTTTTTGTGAATCATTGCCAAAAACATCAAGGAAATTGGAATAACGTGGCAACGTCGCATCGGAATTTCAAACTTTGGTCTTTGACTTTTTTCTATGTGATGTGGTATATTTTTCATATTTAATTAAAATATTCCGAAAAATAAAAATATATGTTTAAAACGGTTTTATGTGTTCCACTGTCAATACCACAGTACTTGTCTTGGTCCTTGGACCAGCGTTGTATCTAATTTTGAAAGTCACGTATGGACCTCTCAGTTGTTACTGTTTCACATTAAATGCGACTTTCCCACACGCACGCCAATGTTGATAACATGGCCTCAGTTTCAATGCAAGAATATCGGATTATATCGTCCAGATTAATATTCACCGACTTTACCTGCCATTACCCGTTAGACTCATCTGACTAACAACTAAACAACCGAGATTACGCTACAAGCGCGTTTCACCATTTTTAGAAGCCGTCGACACCGTGTTCCGCTCCATTGCAATAGTGCACACCGGTAATTTTTAAAAATAATTTATTTCTCAATAGACACTTTCCCGCCCATCGCAGTTACGAAACCCTGCAAAAACCGCAGATAAAATAATTTAAACAACAACAACAACAACAAAGTGCCAAGAAATCAATTCTCCACTCCGCTTTTTGCCCGAATTCTGTCAACTCAGCACCACAACGCTGCACCTGCCACTAGCGCGCTTTTTTCCAATTTTTGGGAAGTACCTCGTCCAAAACCCACTGAACTTAATCCTGAAGGCCGCCACATTCGTAATCCGACTGTGCATAAAATCCCGGTGAATAATAGCAACTTCGCGATTTCGAAATCAGGAAGAGATCGGCGCAATTAGTAACAATAAAGCGTATTAATTATCGGCCCATTTTTAATGCATCAGGGAAACCGAGCAAAAAGCAGCTGTCTCCGTTATATAACTGATCATAGTAGGCGTCATTGCATCCAAGGACACTTACCCGCAGGATCAGCAGGACCACCATGCACGACAGCCCCAGGATGCAGTCCCAGAGCCTGGTCTCGGTGATGTGCTCGAAGATCTGCTCCCAAACTTGCAGGAATTTGCCCCCGGGGTAGCTCAAACCGAGCACGTCTTTGACTTGGGTAGTGGCGATGATGATGGCCGCCGCTGACGTAAACCCGATCGAGACCGGTCCTGATATGAAGTCGATCAGGAAGCCTGAAGAAAAAAGTTGTTATTAGGTCAGGAGTATTAATAGCCTTGTTGCATTCGTAGAGAAAATAGTGGCGGTACGGGTGACAAAAGGCGCTCCTCGAGTGGTACCGACGAGCGCTTGAGGGCGAAACCGCGCTCCGCTGTCCTCAATTCGGGTACTACTACGCACTACTATTACCGGTGATAATAAACGCAGACCATTTGCCCATTTAATAGCGACCACACAAGATAAACATTGGCAAATTCAACGGCGAGGAGGTCATCAGTAATATACATTTTAACGCAAGGATTTCGCAAATACCAAGTGGTACTAGCGGTTTACCTTAAATTTCTTTCCTCTTTGGTTGTTATCGAGTGCTGGTCTAGCGTATTTACCTACCTAGTTGGAGGAGACCCATGAGGAACTCGACGCAGCCGCTGAGGAAGCAGAGTAAGACGGCGCCGCTGACGCCGAAGCCGTGGTTGTTTTCGCGGGTTAGGAGACCGGCGATGGCGGTGGGGCCGATGGGGGCTTCCTTGCAGCTGCCGAAAATGGTGTAGACGAAGCAGGCCATGAAGGAGGAGTATAAACCTGGAGGAGAGTGGATAAAGTCACTTTATAATCCGCACAAATGGGTCAAAATTTTTTAAAAATTTTCAAAAATGTACAAAATTTCAGTAATTCATGAGTAATTAAAAATGGCGAAAATTGAAAAACCTATTCTGAATTACCAATGGCGTTCGAACTTGACCCTGACCTGATAATGGATAGTTAATTAGCCGAAACTAGGCGCTAAAAGCGCACCAAAAATTATGCTTGACTCGTCTGGAAAAAACCTCAAAAGTTTCCAGTAATTTGACTTAGAGCACCCTATATATTTTTACACAATTTCTTTTTTAAATTTCACTGCGACGTTGCCATGTTATTCCAGTTTTCTGGAATTTTTACTTCTCGAAAGTAAGCTAAGGAAGTATTCTAATCGAGTGCATCGGGTGACTAGATACTTTTATGTTTTCTCGACGTTTCATGACCCCGAGAATACGAAATAGTTAGACATGTAATCTCCGAAACTACTGCACCGATTGTTGTCAAATTTTGTAAATGTTATAAGGTAAGATACTCTTGCATTTCTGGTTTATTTGGGATTTTCACTTTGGGTTTTTCGAATTTTCGATTTTTCGATACTCTGATTTTCAATTTTTTAACTTCATTATCGATTTTTCAATTTTTCAATTTTTCCACTTTTCGATTTTTCGATTTTAGAATTTTCGGTTATTCGACTTTCTATATTTCGTTTCTTGGACTTTTCGATTTTTCAAAATTTCGATTTCAAATTTTTGAATTTTCGGTTTTTCCATTTTTGATTTTTAGATTTTCATTTCAAACATTATGTCACTGGATTTTCGATTTCTCAATTTTTTTTTTGATTTTTGGAATGCCTATTTTCGATTTTTCAGTTTTTCGACTTTCCGATTTTTGGAATTTTCGTTTCTGCAATTTTAGATTTTTCGATTATTATTTTGATTCAGCGTATTTTGATTATTTTACTTTCGATTTTCGATATTTCGAATTTTCGATGTTCTAATTTTCAAACTTCTTAATTTCGATGTCAGGATTTTTCAATTTGTCCATTTTTCGACTTAACGATTTTTCAAGTTTGGAATTTTAGATTATTCGACTTTTAATATTTCGTTTCTTGGAATTTTCGATTTTTATATTTTCGAATTTTCGACTTTTCGAACATTGGATTTTCAATTTTCAGAGTTTTTTTCGATTTTTGAAATTTCCTTTTTCGGTTTTTCGAATTTTTGATTTTCGATTTGTTCATTTTACAAAATTCCAATTTTCAATTTTTTACATTTCGCTTCTCCATTTCTCGATTTTTCGATACTGAGAATTTTCACTTTTCGAAATTTCCAATGTTCGATTTTTCAATATTCTAATTTTCAAATTTGGAGTTTAGAATTTTAAATTATTCAACTTTTGATATTTTGTTCCTAGGATTTTTCGATTTTCGGTATTTCGACTTTTCGATTTAGATCACTGGATTTCTTGAGAGTTTTTCGATTTTTGGAATTTCCATTTTCGGCTTTTCGACTTTTCTATTTTAGAATCGTTCATTTTCCGAAATCCGAGTGTTCAATTTTTTTACTTTTTGCTTCTTCGTTTCTCGATTTTTCAGTTTTTCGACTTTCTGATTTTTCAAATTTCCGTTTTCTCAATTTTCGAATTTTCGAATATTTGATTCGTCGAATTTTTGATTTCTCAATTTTCCATTTTTCAAAACTTTCAATTTCGACTTTTCGCCATTCTAACTTTCAAATTTTTTAAATTAAATTTCTCGATTTTTCAATTTTTCCCATTTTTCGACTTTTCAATTTTAGAATTTGCGGTTACTAGATTTTCGAAATTTCATTTTTTTCTATATTTCGTTTCTAAGATTTTTTGAAATCTCGATTTTAGAATTTGCGGTTACTAGATTTTCGAAATTTCATTTTTTTCTATATTTCGTTTCTAAGATTTTTTGAAATCTCGATTTTCGAATTTTTGATTTTTCAGTTTTCCTTATTATAATTTTTCGTCTTTTTTCGTCCTTATTCGTCCTTTTTGGTCCTTTTTCGTCCTTTTCGGCCTTTGTCGTCCTTTTTCGTCCTTATTATCCTTTTTCGTCCGTATTATCTTTTTTCTAACTTTTTCGTCTTTTATCGTCGTTTTCGTCCTTTTGCGTCCTTTTTCGTCCTTCTCGTCCTTTTTCGTCCTTCTTCGTCCTTATTGTCTTATTTCGTCCTTTTTTGCCCTTTTCGTCCTTATTATCCCGTTTCTTCCTTCTTCGTCCCTTTTCGTCCTTATTATACGTTTTTCGTCCTTCTTCGTCATTTTTCGTCCTTCTCGTCCTTTTCCGTCCTTTGTCAGTTTTTCGACTTCCTGATTTTTCAAATTTCCGTTTTCTCAATTTTCGAATTTTCGAATATTTGATTCGTCGAATTTTTTATTTTTCAACTTTCAATTTTTCGAAATTTCAAATTTTCCATTTTTCAAACTTTCAATTTTCCAAATTACGAGTGTTCGACTTTTCGCTATTCCAACTTTCAATTTTTTTTATTTCAATTTCTCGATTCTTCAATTTTCCCATTTTTCGACTTTTCGATTTTAGAATTTTCGGTTACTAGACTTTCGATGTTTCGTTTTTTTCTATATTTCGTTTCTAAGATTTTTCGAAATCTCGATTTTCGAATTTTTGATTTTCCAGTTTTCCTTATTATAATTTTTCGTCCTTTTTCGTCCTTATTATCCTTCTTCTACCTTTTTCGTCCTTTTGCGTCATATTTCTTTTTTTTTTGTCCTTTTCGTCCTTTGTCGTCCTTTTCGTCCTTTCTGTCCATTTTCGTCCATATTATCCTTTTTCGTCCTTTTTCGTCCTTATTTGTTCTTTTTCTTCCTTCTTCGTCCTTTTTCGTCCTTGTCGTCCTTTGTCGTCTTTTTCGTTTTTTTTCGTCCTTTCCATCTTTTTTCGTCCCTATTATTCTTTTTCGTCGTTTTTCGTTCTTTTTCGTCCTTCTTCATCCTTTTTCGTCCTTTTCGTCTTTTTTCGTCCATATTATCCTTTTTCGTCCTTCTTCGTCCTTCTTAGTCCTTATTATCCTATTTCGTACTTTTTCGTCCTTATTATCCTTTTTCGTCCTTTTTCGTCCTTTCCGTCCAAATTATCCTTTTTTGTCCTTCTTCGTTCTTTGTCCTCCTTTTTCGTCATTTTCGTTATTTTTCGTCTTTTCTCGTCCTTTTCGTCCTTCTTCGTCATTTTTCGTCTTTTCGTCCTTTTTCGTCCCTCTTCGTCCTTCGTCCTTATTATTCTATTTCGTCCTTATTATCCTTTTTCGTCCTATTTCGTCATTTTTTGTCCTTTTTCGTCATTTTCGTCCTAATTATCCTTTTTCGTCCTCTTGCGTTCTTCTTCGTCCCTTTTCGTTATTTTTCGTCTTTTCTCGTCCTTTTCGTCATTTTTCGTCCTTCTTCGTCTTTTTTCGTCCTTCTCGTCCTTTTTCGTCCGTATTATCCTTTTTCGTCCTTATTAACCTTTTTCGTCGTTTTTCGTCCATTTTCGTCCTTTTTCGTCCTTAGTATCCTTTTTCGTAATTTTTCATCCTTCTCGTCCTTTTCGTCCTCTTTCGTCCTTACTATCCTTTTTCATCCTTTGTCGTCCTTTTTCGTTCTTTTCGTTCTTTTCATCCTTTTTCGTCCTTTCTCATTATTTGAATATTTGATGCATCGGTTTTTCGTTATTCAAATTATCAATTTGTTTCTTTTTTGATTTACCGATTTTACTATTTTTCGATTTTTCGAATTTTTTTATTTATTTTTCAATTTTTTGATTTTTTCTCGATATTCCGATTTTTCTAGTTCTGACTTTGGGTGGATCGATTTTTCGATATTCGAATTTGTTTCTTTTTTTATTTTCCGATTTTTCAATTTTTCGTTTTTTCAAATTTTCGGTTTTTCGACTACTGATTTTTTGAGTTTTCGATTATTCAATTTTCTGATTCTTCAGTTTTTAAACTTTTCAAGTTTTTTATCTTTCGACCTTTTGATTTTTTCTCGATTTTTCGAATTTCGAACTTTCCACTTTTCGATATTCCGATTTTTCGAATTTTCGGTTTTTCCATTTTTCGGATTCTCATTTTTCGAATTATCAATTTGTTTGTTTTTGATTTTTCAAATTTTCAATTTTTTGTTTTTTCAAATTTTCGATTTCGAATTTTCGATTATGGATGTTTTAATTTAAAATTATACAATTTTCTCATTCTTCAGTTTTTAGACTTTTCAATATTTGTACTTTTCCGACTTTTTGATTTCATGAGTTCTCGATTTTTCAAAGTTTCCATTTTTCGGTTTCCGATTTTTAGATTTTCTAATTTTCGGTTTTCCGATGTTTCGGATTTTCATTGTTCAAATAAGAATTTGATGCATCGAATTTTCGATATGAGAATTATCGATTTGTTTCATTTTTATGTTCCCGATTTTTCAGTTTTTCATAGCTTCGTTTTTTCAAATTTTCGGTGTTTCGAATTTTTGATTCTACAAATTTTCGATTAGGTCCTGATTTTTTGAATTTTCGATAATTCGATTTTCCCATTCTTCAGTTTTTAGACACTTCAGTATTTTTACTTTTCAACCTTTTGATTTCTTGAGTTCTCGATTTTTCGAATCATCAATTTTTTCTTTTTTGATTTCCAGATTTTTAAATTGTTCAGTTGTTCGTTTTTTAAAATTTTCAACTTTTGGAATTTTCGATTACTGGTTTTTTGAATTTTCGATTATTCAGTTTCCCGTTCTTCAGTTTTTGGATTTTCATTTATTTTTCGATTTTTTGATTTGTTTTTAGATTTTTAATTAATCTAGTTTTTGATTTTTGATTTCTTGAGTTCTCAATTTTTAATTTTTGGACCTTCCGACTTATTTTTGAAATTTTGTTTGTTCAATTTCTGATTTTTGGAATATTTGCTTCATTGAATTTTTGATTTTCCGGTATTTAGAATTTTCAATATCCTAATTTTTGTCAAATTGAGTGTCAAAAATTTCGCAAGTGAGGAAAT